TCTGTGTCGAGCTTTGTTTATAATTGATAAGGGAGAGTTTTTTATCAATATGAATGGAAGAACAAACAGGGTGACACATTTAAAAACATAGCAACAGAAAGGATGTGAATCTTAAAGAGTTACGGTCCAGATGTTCTTTAACTTATTTGAAAGGCACTGGTGGTGCTTTTGGAAGACAGACAACATACAAGGAATGGATAAAACAACGTATAGTCTGGGTTTTAAGGCTTAGGGTATTTCCTTCAAAGACACCGCAAGGGTTTTACATTCTGAAGGTTCACAGATAGAATGACTGTACATCCCCACTCCTGATGATATGCTGTACCTTGTCCACTCTTATACCTGCTGTGTTGGCATTCTTTATTAATTCCCTTGAAAACATGTTCTGACTTTATAAAGGAAAGTGAACTCCTTGTCATTGTGACACATCACTGCACACAACCAAATGTGACCTCTGCATTTAACCCATCACCAAAGTGAACAGTGGACAACTTTTTGAGCGCCCGGGGAGCAGTGTGTGGGGACGGTGCCATGCTCATGCTGTCCTACAATCAAACGTAATCATTGTTGTTAAGAGTTAATTTCACATATAACAGATGTTATACCATCCATTGCATATTTTTACATTTTAAATCAGTTGACAAGCTTCTTTTCTTCTGTACTGTTTGAATGATAAAGTAAAACTATCAGTAAAGAGTAGGCAAATGCTCCTCATGGTGCAGACATAAATACCAAGGTAGAGATGTTTCTTTGATTGGAGTTCTAACAGGGTCATGTTACATTAATTTCAAGCTTCCTTTTCAATGAATACAGAAATGTGAATTTATTTACTGTACAAGTAAGGATAGCGACAATAAAATCATACTTGTGAAAAGGTGATCCCTTAAGTGCACAATGACAAAAATGTCAAAGAGTCCTCACAATTATGTTTTTGTAGTTTGCATTCACACATACAAACACACACACAATCCCTCTGAAGAGGGCTGGTTGATGAGCCTACTGCATGTGGGGAAAATAAGGGAAAGTTGTCAAAACATCGAACATAATTCCATCACAAATGAATCACAATTTATATTGTGACAAAAGCATGATTTCAAACAAAACCTTAAAAACCAAGAAACTCAAAATACAGCCGTGGTCTTTCAGGAACACCAAAGAGTCTGCTCGTTAAGGTTGCACTGCAGCCACTGCTCCATTAATGGGGTACAATTTGAATATAATGTTACAGTAGAGGTTTGTCAAAGTGGTGGGATAAAGACAGGGTCCAATTTCAATGTTTCACCACTTTAGTGAGAACTAATATGTCTTCAGGCAGACTGTATAGAAATAGTTGTTAAATTCCACGATTCCTCAAAGAATGTAAGGGTTGATCTGTCTTCTCACTCTGTAGCCAACCATGCCAACACATTGTGGGAACCCTAGAGGATGAGTCTGCTTTCATTCGGTGTTGTTACGACTTAAAAAAAACAAACACAACTGATAAGAACTGTCTATGAATTGTTACCTGATCTGATTTGGCTGTGCTCTATTTATCCACTGTTTTCTTCTCCACAGAACAAATCCCAGTATGTTGGTTATTTTAAACTTACATCACATACTGTACATTCTCACTCTGCTGCCAATAATACGCACTAGCACAATAAATCTATGACTAAAAATACGCTCCAACAAACACCCTCTACTGCCCTGGTAACACCATGTTCTAATGCAGTTCATGTATGGCCTGACACTATGTAGTAAGAATGTTTAATATCCTTGCCGTATTTTCCATTTATTTTGAGGAGAATTTATTTTTTTCAATTTAAATTTGTCAACAATAAACAAATGTCAATTTTATGCATGTTTATGTATCCCATAGCAATGAATATAAAAATGTTTTTTGTTTGTGTTTTTTGGAAACATGAAATGTTCTAATACAGCATGTGAACAGGCATAAAGTGGTACATACCTAATAAAAGAACAGAATGAACAGGGAACACCTCTTTGGTTTTAATTTAAAAAAAATACTGCAAACAGTGGATTAGGGTGCTGGATTGGTTTTGAGAAGTTGAAATAAAATAAAATTAATCAAATTAAAATAAGATGATTTGAGTTAATATAGTTGGGGCTGGGCTTAAGATTTTTTAAATTAAATCTTAAGTATGATTTAAAGTATTTTAAGTGCTTTCCTACTTCTGTGAAAACCTTGCTTTAAAAAAAACGAAAAACCCTTTTTGCTTCCCAAAGTACTTTATATTCCCTTATCTATTGAGATTTTGTGCTTCTGATTGTGCTTGCAAAAGACAGTAAGTGTGTTCACAATATCCAAAGCATTTTCAAGATAACGACGACCATATGCAAGTGGTCGACAAAACACTGTGCAAGAACTGTGATTAAATGTGCATTCAGCTGCGACACACAATCTAAGAACTATGCAGCTGGCATTGTAGCATTAAACTATCACAAATGAATAATATATTAAACCCTCATGTCAACACAAAATACATAAATTAACACTGCTTTATGTGAGTCCCTCGTCTTCCTTTAGTTCCCTGCTCAGCCCAAGTATCGAAAGTTAACTTCCCTTTTATAAAGTCAAGACTTTGATCAAGTTTAAACAAAAGGTTTGGAACAACATTTGGGTTTTGTTTCATAAGAAATATAAAAACTACAGCATGTATGTAGTATAATATTGTTAAAACTTTGTTCAGCATTCGTATTTGTTCAGTCATTGATCTTGTCCTGAAGGCACTTGATAACAAAAATAATGTGAAAAACCCTCATCAGCTACACCGCAAATCTTTTCCCGCATATTCCCTTTAAGCCTTTCATCCTCAGTGAACTGTGCTCAACACAGACCAAACTCACCAAAGCCTTGGGAAACATTAACATTTGGATAGTAGTAGCCACTTTGGTAGCCAATGTAGCAATGGTTGGTGTCGACATGACAAGCTCCCTCTTCTTCATCCGTGAAAAAATGTGTTGCATAGTGAGAAGCACATTCCACCTCCATCTTCATGCTGTCTTAACAAGTCGGCACGTGGGGGAATAGTGGACAGATACTGAGTGAGGAAGAGATCAGAGGCGGGCATAGAACTCCTCATTGAGTTTCGTTAGCTCATTGGCTTCCCCGTCCTCAACCCTCTGAGGTGTAAGAGGAGAATGTTGCACCCACAGAGGTGATTGTGCACCACCATACTCTGTATCTAGTTCAGGGCAGGGAGGGGGGTGAATGTCTGTGGAGGAAGTCTGTCCTTGGTGATTTGGAACGTCCCTATATCCTTCCTCCTTCATCTCTGTGGACTCCCCTGGAGCAGGCTGTGGCTCTGCTCTTGGAGTAAAAGAAGTGGGAGGAGGAGCTGGCCCCTGGGAGACAGTCCCTGAAACTTTATTGGCAGGCAGTGCCAGAGATATTGATGCACCTCCGACATCCTGATCCATACAATCTTGATATATGCTCTCCCCACTTTTTGGGTACAGGTAAGTCCTCATTTGACCTTTGCCCTTAACATTCACAGTACCTCTGTAGTCAAATTCTAAACCCATTGTGCTGAGAATAGCATAGCTTTCCTCGCTCACCTGCACCCGACATTCCACACCAGTAGAGTCCATGCGACTGGCGATGTTGACTGTATCTCCCCATATGTCGTAGAGCAGCTTAGTAGTGCCAATCACCCCCGCTGTCAGTGGGCCATGGTTAAATCCAATACGGAGCTTGAAGCCAAAACCCAGCATGTTCTTGTTAAAGTCATCCAGGACACCCATCATCTCCAGGGCAAAATTGAAAAGTGCCCTCAGGTGACCATGGGGGGAGTCATCATCATTCTCCGCCGGCTGCCGTACGTTCAGCCCTGACGCTGCCATGTACGTAGCACCAATTGTCTTAATTTTCTCGACACTTTCAAATTCAGGTTTGTGAAGGAGCTCATCAAAATCACCGATTAGTTCATTCAGGACACGGTAGCACTCTTTTCCACCCTCGTAACTCTCTTCATAGAACTCACTGAAGTTTACAATACTGGCAAAGATTACACCCACACTGTCGTGGTTCTTAGAGTAGCTCTGGGTCACCTGAAAAAGAAAAAAACAGGTTGGGAGAGAACAGATTCTGAGCAAACAATATATCTGTATATAAATGGTGTCAAGTGGTTAAAATATGTATTAAATAAAAAATACACATAACTGTAACTGAAGTTTAAGATGATACATAAGTGTCATGTTGTGTCACGTGAGTTGGTCGAGGTCCTTTACAGACTCATACAGAACATCAGTATTCAATAAATGAATAAAAGTTTAGGCATAATGTAGTCTGGTCTAGACCCTGTTTTTGAGACTGAGAGTGGCCAGATTTTGAAACAGCTGATTTACTGAAGACATCGGACCCCAAAGCAGGAGCATCTGCTCTTTATTGCCAAACACGTAGTGGTCAATAGGAGCCTGTAACAAACACTGGAAAAGTTGGATATACACTGAAGGTTGTGAAATTAACATATGTCTTATCTTAAAAAGTGTTTAAAAAATATTAAATAATGTCCTTAAAATGTCTGTGTTTTTATTTATTTATTTATTATTTATTTATAAATGAAGGGGTCACCATCTATATTGTCAGAGGGTTAGACTTTTCTGGACTCAAATAAAATGAAACAAAAATCTCATTTTTGTCAAACACTGTTGTTTGATGTTTTAATGGAATCCAGTCGCTGGCCACATTGCATGGTTTAGCGAGCCGGATATGGCCAGCTACCCATCAGTTGATAATCACTGACGTACTGGCACCAAACAAGAGCTCATGCAAAGACCAAGATGAAGCTTTAGCAGCATTTTTTGGCTTCTGTTATGTCCTCATGCTACAAAGCCTGTATGATGAAACAGATGCAGTTTCTTCCACAATTTCCACAGTTTAATCCTTTCAGGATTGCGTGACACTGCGGAACCAACTTCAACAGTCAAAGGGCAGAGGCAGGTTACAACCTCAAAGGTCAATAAACTGCACAGCCACAGAAAGAAAAACAAAATTCTCACTCCCTTTCATACCTGTCATGTTGATGCTTTAAATAAATCACAGACCTTGAGCTGTTCAGCGACATGGATGGGGATGATGTTGCCCAGTAACCACTCAGCCTGGTCTCGCATCATCTGGATGTTAGAGCGATGTTTATCAGCCTCCACATTGCCATGGTAATGAAGGCGGTAGCTAACCTCGAACTCACGATTGAGGAACCAAACCAGGAGAAGGAGCAGGAAAAAAGCCAATACAGCTTCTGGAACCAAAAGGTCAAGAAGTCGTGGGGGAGTGTCACGGCCTGATTCTGATAAACGATCACTTGATGTTGAGACGTTCAGCCTAGGGAAAAAACAAGTGAAGAATGATACAGTAAAATTACACAGACACGAATCAAGATGACATGCCATCATGAAGGAAAAGAAAATTATAAATGCATTTCAAGAAATTTGGTAACGTACTGTACAATAAGCTCAAAATGCAGATAAAGAAGGATTTTGTTAAAGGACTGACTTAAAAATGTGCTCAAAATCAATAATTTTAGGATGTTATATCTATATATGGCTTCATAGAATGCATATTTATGTATATTCTTCAATTTGGTTTTACTGAAACTGTAGCTCTGAGACTACAGGCTTCAGGGGAAATTGAATGAAAAGTTTAGGAATATGTTTGGTTTAGTACAATTTCCACAGAGATCCACAGGGATTGTTGGTGATTTTGGTCTTTTTTACCACAAGGAATATTAACTAAAAATACCACTAGTTAAGGGTGGAAATGATTAAAACCAAGTAGTACTGTCTTATCGTAAGGTAATATATAATAGCGAGGCAACAAGAGAGGTGACTCAAATGCCAGCCATGCATCAAACCCCTGTTTCCACGGAGACACTCACCCATGAAGAGGTAAGCTGTTATTATCGAAGCTGAAAAAGTCAGAAGAGGTTTTGGTCACAAGGCAGCAATAATCAAGGAAACCTTAAAATGATCAAGACATCTATACAGATCTTTGGTGTTATCTCACTGTTATTATATATAATAATATTATTTTTTATATAGCTTTAAGGACTCAAGATGTTCAGTTAAGCTGAGATGAAAATACAGGCAATTCCCATTAGGGGTCGCCACTGTGGATCATCTGCCTTCATCTTCAACACCATCTCATTTCTAATCCTGTCCATCCTGGTCAGGCCTTTTGTCTATTGGACAGAGCCTCTGTCTCTAACCCATACACCATAGCAGGTCTCACTACCGTCTTCTAAACCTTCCCTTTCAACCTTGCTGTCATGTGACAAATCGTCTTCATCTTCTGTCATAAATCACCTACGACACTCACCTCCATCAGTTCCATCCTGCCTGCACCCTGAATGGCCCTCAAATACTTGACTGCCACTCCTGACCACCTCGTACAGTACCACAGTTCCTACAAAGTCGCCGTATTATACTGTATGCTTTCTCTAAATTCACAACACCACAGTGCCTGCAGCCCTATGAACTTCTCTATTAATACTCTCAAAGCAAACGTGCACCTGTATATGAGAGATGAAAAAAATACATCTCTTAATATTAAAGATCACCGTCATGGTGAGAGTGAATACGACTTTACATTTGTGGTTTTGCCTTAAATTATGTGAGAGTGGACACTAAATGGACCTACCTATTCCAAATCTGATTTTGTGTGCCAGCCTTAATCTTTAACAACCTTTAGTCTCTATTTCAATGCCTGAGTATGTACGGTGATTGTTACTTTTTTTTTCACTTCCTTGGCCTGTTGGAGGACAGTTTAAAGAGCATGGAAATAAACCCTACCAACTACCTTCACAAATGGATCTGTGCTCTCCAACCATGGAGGTACAACATATTTGCATTTGGTATTTCTGTGAATGTGCCAACAGCAAACTGCTGCTCACCTGTTCTTGTGTAGAGGGATATAGACCAGCACAAGCAGAGTGACCCCTGTCACAGTGGCCAGGACTGAGCGCATCCAGAAACTCAGCTGACAGAAGTTACAATACTGGATGATGGCCAGGATGGTGGCACAGCACAGAAACATAGTCACCTGGAGGACGACAATGGTAATGTTGGTTGAACACAAAATCAACGATGGACATACATATGTAGTTGAGATGAATTTTGCTTTAGATTTTTATGTAAAATCCATCAGTTTTTAAGGCCAGTCCCTGTTGACTGACAAGGCTGACAAACAAACGGCCAAAGTGAACATTTTTACTGATCTGCTCAAACCTTTGTCTTGGAGAATGTCTGTGAAGTGACAGCAGTCTGACAGCAGTTTGTGAGTTTTCCTACGCAGTTCAGTTTCTCATTGTCCTCAAGGGTAATTTATTTAGCAGTAGTTCTGTTCTGATGTGGCAGTTTAATAAAACACCTGCAGAAGTCTCTGAAGCCGCTGAACACTTTAATGTCTTTTCTCACTTTTTAATCCAATAAATCCAATAAAAATCTGTTCAATGAATTCCTCTGCAATGCATGATTTTCAATTTTTTCCTTCTGTACAAGGAG